TCATAAGGCGAAATATATAATGAGTATGAACAAATGATGGTATAGCTGAATATTCATAAGGCGAAATATATAATGAGTATGAACAAATGATGGTATAGCTGAAAAGTGGTTTCACCACTGAATATTCATAAGGCGAAATATATAATGAGTATTAACAAATGATGGTATAGCTGAATATTCATAAGGCGAAATATATAATGATATGAACAAATGATGGTATAGCTGAAAAGTGGTTTCACCACTGAATATTCATAAGGCGAAATATATAATGAGTATGAACAAATGATGGTATAGCTGAAAAGTGGTTTCACACTGAATATTCATCAGGAAATCAATGAATATTCATAAGGCGAAATATATAATGAGTATGAAAAAATGATGATATAGTTGAAAAGTGGTTTTGGACCCAAAATTCGGACCCAAAATTCGGACCCAAAATTCGGACCCAAAATTCGGACCCAAAATTTGATGCATGCAGGACCTGAACCCACAACGCCTGGGTTTCCAGTCACAACTACTAACCAGTGCACTACTTGGGTCCCCCCAGTACATTTCCCTATTTTATAAACTTAGCTCTTAGGTTCCCTAAATAAATTTCAATAACAGTGCTTCCACACTTAGCCACACACAACTCTGAAACTCTCTTACAAATTCTAATATTTCAACTTCCTGTCTATTTATTTTTTTGAAAAAAAAAAAATCTACCATCCAGATTGCTCTTTCTTTTTTTTTGACAAACAAAAAAAGGCAAACAATTGTGTTTTTTTGGAGCTACAAATCAAATTGTTTGATCCAATCATAATTATTCTAATAGTGCATTGGAACTTAACAGATCATGTTTTTCAGCTGGCTACAGTTCAATTCCACACATCTCGAGAGAAGACGCATTAACAAAAACATTGTAATTACTGATGACTGATTTGATTTATTGAAATAATTATGACCGACAGAACAATTCATACACAAGAGAAAAGTAAATAATAACAGGAATAATTTGTACAGAAAACCACTGCCTTGCGATGCCATGGATAGTTAGAAAGGCAGTTTCAATAATGTTACATAGTACAGACTTCATACATTGTTAATATGTACTCTGAAATTATTCTACAGTACTATTTACAGCTTTTATACAAATGTGCATAAACACAGCATTGGTAGTTAATTTTAACGGATAATTTCAATAAAATCATTTGAAATACTTCCATGTGTAGCTATGGTTGGTCATTTTTTGGTCCATAAAATATTAATCCTTCAAAAAAGTGTAAGATTTAAACTGAAAACTGTCCCATTCATTATTGCTAATTTCCTGTTAACGTTTAAAGGCACATTTTGCTTGTTTCGCTGAACAAAAACAATATAATGTACATTATTGTTGATTCCTCTGACAAATGCACTTAGTTTCTAACATTAGGTGTTTTTCAACTAACCTCAAAACTTTGACAACATTTTTTCATAAAAAAATCAAACATAATTTCAGTGTTATCCCAATTATAGTTTTCTTCTCTACACATTTCCCTTCGCATCTGGGAAATAAATTTACCTCTTTTTTTTCGTTCAAACCATGAAACCACAGATACTTTATAGTTACTTATGAAACTAGAGACTTATGAAATAAATAATTTTGGAATCTGTTGAAGTCTGTGGTGTTGCATAACCATCAGAATGCACATCTATCAGCCTCATTTCAACAATATGGATGACTGTATGTTACACAATGAGTGCGTTTGATTATTTTCCCCAGCTTACTCGCGCTTGGCTCGCGTGATGACAGACATGCGCAGTGGAGCTAAATAAACGAACGGTTCCGGGTTAAGTTTTGTGCAAGGAGCTGGAAAGTTGAACTTTGACATGACACTGAGGCTGCATCCGAATCAAGTGTCTAGAGCTAGGTCTAGCTCTGCGCCCACTGAAAATAGTGACGGGGACGCACTGACAATAGACGTAGCCGTGGCTCTGGAAGCCTGTTTCGGACATGGCCTGAGGCGCCCGCCGAACGTCACGTTGGCAGCCGTGTTCATTGTATGGCCTTATGGGATACTTACCCAAGTAACTGGCTCGGTGAGTCGGTTACTTGGGCCAAGCTTGAGTAAGCACGAGAAGTCACGTGAGAGGTCAATCGAATGCTGTCGTGCTTGCACGAGTAAGCGTGGGGGAAGTAATCGAACGCACTAAAATTAAGCAAAGCTTACCTGAATAACCCTTAAGCACTGAAGAAAGATCTTTTGCTGTTAATCCCTCAACCGTTTTAAAGTACAGTATGATTTTCTCTTCAAATATGAAAAGTCTTATTTTGCAGTACTTCAAGTCTATTCCATCCCTGTGAAGCACCAGCAAGGTAGTGATGTGTACATGGTGCAGTCCTTCTCCTGGGCCGCATAGTGCTTCTCAAGGGAGCTCTGGTCTGAGTCTCTTCCATCCCTGCGAAGCACCAGCAAGGTAGTGATGTGTACTTGGTGCGGTCCTTCTCCTGGGCCGCATAGTGCTTCTCAATGGAGCTCTGGTCTGAGTCTCTTCCATCCCTGTGATGAAGCACCAGCAAGGTAGTGATGTATATGTACTTGATGCGGTCCTCCTCCTGAGCCGTACAGTACTTCTCAAGAGAGCTCTGGTCTGAGTCTGTTCTAGCCGTGAGAAGCATTCCTTCTCCTGGGCCGTATAGTGCTTCTCAAGAGAGCTCTGTTCTGAGTCTGTTCCATCCCTGTGAAGCATCAGCAAGGTAGTGATGTACTTGGTGCGGTCCTTCTCCTGGGCCGTATAGTGCTTCTCAAGGGAGCTCTGGTCCGAGTCCGTACCATCCCTGTGAAGCATCAGCAAGGTAGTAATGTACTTGGTGCGGTCCTTCTCCTGGGCTGTATAGTGCTTCTCAAGAGAGCTCTGTTCTGAGTCTGTTCCATCCCTGTGAAGCATCAGCAAGGTAGTGATGTACTTGGTGCGGTCCTTCTCCTGGGCTGTATAGTGCTTCTCAAGGGAGCTCTGGTCCGAGTCCGTACCATCCCTGTGAAGCATCAGCAAGGTAGTAATGTACTTGGTGCGGTCCTTCTCCTGGGCTGTATAGTGCTTCTCAAGGGAGCTCTGTTCTGAGTCTGTTCCATCCCTGTGGAGCACCAGCAAGGTAGTGATGTACTTGGTGCGGTCCTTCTCCTGGGCCGTACAGTGCTTCTCAAGAGAGCTCTGGTCTGAGTCTGTTCCATCCCTGTGAAGCATCAGCAAGGTAGTGATGTACTTGGTGCGGTCCTTCTCCTGGGCCGTACAGTGCTTCTCAAGAGAGCTCTGGTCTGAGTCTGTTCCATCCCTGTGGAGCACCAGCAAGGTAGTGATGTACTTGGTGCGGTCCTTCTCCTGGGCCGTATAGTGCTTCTCAAGGGAGCTCTGTTCTGAGTCTGTTCCATCCCTGTGAAGCATCAGCAAGGTAGTGATGTACTTGGTGCGGTCCTTCTCCTGGGCCGTACAGTGCTTCTCAAGAGAGCTCTGGTCTGAGTCTGTTCTAGCCGTGAGAAGCAGTCCTTCTCCTGGGCCTTATAGTGCTTCTATAGTGCTTCTCAAGAGAGCTCTCTGATGTGAAGTGAGCTGGTAGATCTGCCATCACCTGGTCAAGAAATTTGAATATTGTCAATTTGGGAAAAAATGTTTGATACTGATTGAGAGATTTACTTGTATTCATTATTAGCTATCCTGCAAATTCGAGTGGAACAAGGTTAAAAAAAAATTAGGTTAACCAGTTTGCATCGGATAACGTGTATACAAACAAAGATTTTGCGGTATTCGTAGCGGATGCCAGATGAACAAGAATGATAGCTGAGTCCTATAAATACAGATGTCAAATTGGTTCAGAGAACTCTTAGAGTTTTTAAGAATAAATTATTGTTTCAATGAAGAAGAAGTGTCTTTGCTCCCTTATTAGTCCCATCCTTGTAGATAGGATAGGATGCCTGGTTATATATCTTTGATACAAACGAATCCGGGAAATATAAATTTATAGTGACTTGGCATCATTACATCTTGCAAGGTGACAAAAGAAAGTCCTGAATAGCGCCCTCTACCCCACCTCACCCGGCCGCAGCATTACATGACAAAAACAATGAAAAAAGCCCATTGGTTTTACTTTAAACATGCCTTAGACCTTACTCCATATTTTTTATACAATTTCCTTAAAACATAAGTAGTAACTATCAAAGGTTATTAATATCACTCAATCTGAAAATAAAAAGAAAACAAAAATCCCCCACTTGCATTATTGTCCATTCAGCCATAAAAAATCGTTGCGCGTCAATTTTGATCTGTTAAGTCAATTTCTTTTTTTTCTTTAAAATTTTCTGTAGCTACAACAGTGCCCTTTAGTGCTGCACCGCCTCAAATATTTAGCACTAAGGAGCACAAGGGCACCAAGGCAAATGATAGGGCACCAAGTTAAATGATGTAAGCCCATATGAGAACTCAAACAAACAAAGCAGTACCACTTTGCTATTTTTTCCCAAGCTTGGATGGTACAGACAAAGAATATTTTTTTAAACGCATCACTAGTTTGAATACAATTTAATACCAAATTAGTGACTCTCAACAATATAGTTATGAACTCACAGTCTGTTTGTTTGATGACAGAATTTTTGTTACAACTTCCACATGGTAGTAGATTAAAAGGCGACTACAAAATACTTCAGTCTTTGTAAAAAAAAAAAAAAATAGGCGACTTGATCAAAGTTACTTATTGTACAAGTGCGATTAGGCCTAAACCTTTTTTTTCCTGAATCTTTTTCTTAAAGTTGCTAAATGAAAGCTGTAAACGCGAACAACAAATCTGTTGGTGAACACACAATTGGGTGTTAATTTGAATTTATTGTTAGGTTTTTCAAATAGACCTACAAACGCTGTGGTATAATAGCTGATTATGCTTTTTACCTCTTTACAAAAAATTGCTGATCCAAATGCGTTGCAGATAATGTTTGGATAATATTCTGGTTGTTAACAAGTTTTGTTTAGGTGGCTTGATTTGGTCGATCTTGTAGCTTGGATCATGTCCCTCGAGCCAGTACGTCAGGCTTTCACCTTTGCCCTGAAATAAAAGAAAGGAAAAAGAAAAGAGATTGATTGAAACAGATATCTCATGCTTCCTTTGAAATATGATGGACTTGAGAATTTGCAGCAGTGAAAATTGAAGGAAGGGTAGATCATTTGTCATTTGTGATTTTTTTCCCATTTGAAGCAACAAACGTGCTCAAAATCTAAAGATGGGTGCTTAACAAGTACCCCAAATGAAGTTAAAGATATGTGAATGCTGTGTTTTCAGAGGAAACAATATTCTAGGATCTCAATTTCTATTCAAAAGTTTCCGAGACACGTTTGTTCTCATTCAGCTGATTTAAGCTTTGCAATGTTGCACACTAAACCGCTGAATGAGTCATGTCAACGCGTGTGCACACCCATTCACAGATTAGTTCGATCACAAACCAACTAAATAAAAACTTCCAAAAAATGTGTCATTTGACACACTATTTAGAAATGGCCTTCTTTTATTGTGTTCTTCACAATGACAACATGTAATGCCAGAGAGAATAATTTCACAGGCAGTCCGACTAGCTGTACTAAGGGTTGTTTTTCTATTTTTATAGTAATTTTCCTACTTGGGTCTCGATCCTTTGCGGCTGGACTCTGATGTTCTCATAGAGCTATATTAAAGTACAATACTTGTGATGTACTTGTGACTAGACTTGTGATTTACTTATGACTGGACTTGTGATGTACTTGTGACTGGACTTGTGATGTACTTGCCACCAGACTTGAGATGAACTTGTGACTGGACTTGTGATATACTTGTGACTGGACTTGTGATTTACTTGTGACTAAACTTGTGATATACTTGGACTCGACTTGTGATGTACTTGCCACCAGACTTGTGATGTACTTGTGAACAGACTAGTGATGTACTTGTGACTGGGCTTATGATGCACTTGTGACTAGACTTGTGGTGTTCTTGTGACTAGACTTGTGATGTACTTGTGACTGGACTTGTGATTTACTTATGACTGGACTTGTGATGTACTTGTGACTGGACTTGTGATGTACTTGCCACCAGACTTGAGATGAACTTGTGACTGGACTTGTGATATACTTGTGACTGGACTTGTGATTTACTTGTGACTAAACTTGTGATATACTTGGACTCGACTTGTGATGTACTTGCCACCAGACTTGTGATGTACTTGTGAACAGACTAGTGATGTACTTGTGACTGGGCTTATGATGCACTTGTGACTAGACTTGTGGTGTTCTTGTGACTAGACTTGTGATGTTCTTGTGACTAGACTTGTGATGTACTTGTGACTGGACTTGTGATGTTCCTGTGACTGGACTTGTGATGTACTTGTGACTATAGACTTGTAATGTACTTGTGGCTGGACTTGTGATGTACTTGTGATTAGACTTGTAATGTACTTGTGGCTGGACTTGTGATGTACTTGTGACTAGACTTGTAATGTACTTGTGACTGGACTTGTGATGTCCTTGTGACTAGACTTGTGATGTACTTGTGGCTGGACTTGTGATGTACTTGTGACTAGACTTGTGATGTACTTGTGGCTGGACTTGTGATGTACTTGTGACTTGACTTGTACTTGTGGCTGGACTTGTGATGTACTTGTGACTAGACTTGTAATGTACTTGTGGCTGGACTTGTGATGTACTTGTGACTAGACTTGTGATGTACTTGTGACTAGACTTGTAATGTATTTGTGGCTGGACTTGTGATGTCCTTGTGACTAGACTTGTGATGTACTTGTGACTAGACTTGTAATGTACTTGTGGCTGGACTTGTAATGTACTTGTGACTGGACTTGTAATGTACTTGTGACTAGACTTGTAATGTATTTGTGGCTGGACTTGTGATGTCCTTGTGACTAGACTTGTGATGTACTTGTGACTGGACTTGTGATGTTCCTGTGACTGGACTTGTGATGTACTTGTGACTTAACTTGTAATGTACTTGTGGCTGGACTTGTGATGTACTTGTGACTAGACTTGTAATGTACTTGTGGCTGGTTTTGTGATGTACCTGTGACTAAACTTGTGATGTTCTTGTGACTAGACTTGTGATGTACTTGTCACTGGACTTGTGATGTTCCTGTGACTGGACTTGTGATGTACTTGTGACTAGACTTGTAATGTACTTGTGGCTGGACTTGTGATGTACTTGTGACTAGACTTGTAATGTACTTGTGACTAGACTTGTAATGTACTTGTGGCTGGACTTGTGATGTACTTGTGACTAGACTTGTGATGTACTTGTGACTGGACTGGTGATGTCCTTGTGACTAGACTTGTGATGTACTTGTGACTGGACTTGTGATGTACTTGTGACTAGACTTGTGATGTACTTGTGGCTGGATTTGTGATGTACTTGTGACTAGACTTGTAATGTACTTGTGGCTGGTTTTGTGATGTACCTGTGACTAAACTTGTGATGTTCTTGTGACTAGACTTGTGATGTACTTGTCACTGGACTTGTGATGTTCCTGTGACTGGACTTGTGATGTACTTGTGACTAGACTTGTAATGTACTTGTGGCTGGACTTGTGATGTACTTGTGACTAGACTTGTAATGTACTTGTGGCTGGACTTGTGATGTACTTGTGACTAGACTTGTGATGTACTTGTGACTGGACTTGTAATGTACTTGTGACTTAACTTGTAATGTACTTGTGGCTGGACTTGTGATGTACTTGTGACTAGACTTGTAATGTACTTGTGGCTGGACTTGTGATGTACTTGTGACTAGACTTGTGATGTACTTGTGACTGGACTTGTGATGTACTTGTGACTAGACTTGTAATGTACTTGTGACTAGACTTGTGATGTACTTGTGACTGGACTTGTAATGTACTTGTGACTGGACTTGTGATGTACTTGTGACTGGACTTGTGATGTACTTGTGACTGGACTGGTGATGTTCCTGTGACTGGACTTGTAATGTACTTGTGGCTGGACTTGTGATGTCCTTGTGACTAGACTTGTAATGTACTTGTGGCTGGACTTGTGAAGTACTTGTGACTAGACTTGTAATGTACTTGTGACTGGACTTGTGATGGACTTGTGACGAGACTTGTAATGTACTTGTGGCTGGACTTGTGATGGACTTGTGGCTGGACTTGTAATGTACTTGTGACTGGACTTGTGATGTACTTGTGACTAGACTTGTAATGTACTTGTGGCTGGACTTGTGATGGACTTGTGGCTGGACTTGTAATGTACTTGTGACTGGACTTGTGATGTACTTGTGACTAGACTTGTAATGTACTTGTGGCTGGACTTGTGATGGACTTGTGGCTGGACTTGTAATGTACTTGTGGCTGGACTTGTAATGTACTTGTGACTGGACTTGTGATGTACTTGTGACGAGACTTGTAATGTACTTGTGGCTGGACTTGTGATGGACTTGTGGCTGGACTTGTAATGTACTTGTGACTGGACTTGTGATGTACTTGTGACTAGACTTGTAATGTACTTGTGGCTGGACTTGTGATGGACTTGTGGCTGGACTTGTAATGTACTTGTGACTGGACTTGTGATGAACTTGTGACTAGACTTGTAATGTACTTGTGGCTGGACTTGTGATGGACTTGTGGCTGGACTTGTAATGTACTTGTGGCTGGACTTGTAATGTACTTGTGACTGGACTTGTGATGTACTTGTGACTGGACTTGTAATGTACTTGTGACTGGACTTGTGATGTACTTGTGACTAGACTTGTAATGTACTTGTGGCTGGACTTGTAATGTACTTGTGGCTGGACTTGTGATGTACTTGTGACTGGACTTGTGATGGACTTGTGACTGGACTTGTAATGTACTTGTGGCTGGACTTGTGATGTACTTGTGACTAGACTTGTAATGTACTTGTGGCTGGACTTGTGATGGACTTGTGGCTGGACTTGTAATGTACTTGTGACTGGACTTGTAATGTACTTGTGGCTGGACTTGTAATGTACTTGTGACTGGACTTGTGATGTACTTGTGACTAGACTTGTAATGTACTTGTGGCTGGACTTGTAATGTACTTGTGACTGGACTTGTGATGTACTTGTGACTAGACTTGTAATGTACTTGTGACTGGACTTGTGATGTACTTGTGACTAGACTTGTAATGTACTTGTGGCTGGACTTGTAATGTACTTGTGGCTGGACTTGTGATGTACTTGTGACTGGACTTGTGATGGACTTGTGACTGGACTTGTAATGTACTTGTGGCTGGACTTGTGATGTACTTGTGGCTGGACTTGTAATGTACTTGTGACTGGACTTGTGATGTACTTGTGACTAGACTTGTAATGAACTTGTGGCTGGACTTGTAATGTACTTGTGACTGGACTTGTGATGTACTTGTGACTAGACTTGTAATGTACTTGTGGCTGGACTTGTGATGGACTTGTGGCTGGACTTGTAATGTACTTGTGACTAGACTTGTAATGTACTTGTGGCTGGACTTGTAATGTACTTGTGGCTGGACTTGTGATGTACTTGTGACTGGACTTGTGATGTACTTGTGACTAGACTTGTAATGTACTTGTGACTAGACTTGTGATGTACTTGTGGCTGGACTTGTAATGTACTTGTGACTGGACTTGTGATGGACTTGTGACTAGACTTGTAATGTACTTGTGGCTGGACTTGTGATGGACTTGTGGCTGGACTTGTAATGTACTTGTGACTGGACTTGTGATGTACTTGTGACTAGACTTGTAATGTACTTGTGGCTGGACTTGTGATGTACTTGTGACTAGACTTGTAATGTACTTGTGATTGGACTTGTGATGTACTTGTGACTGGACTTGTAATGTACTTGTGACTGGACTTGTAATGTACTTGTGACTGGACTTGTAATGTACTTGTGGCTGGACTTGTAATGTACTTGTGACTGGACTTGTGATGGACTTGTGGCTGGACGTGTAATGTACTTGTGGCTGGACTTGTAATATACTTGTGGCTGGACTTGTGATGTACTTGTGACTAGAATTGTAATGTACTTGTGACTGGACTTGTGATGGACTTGTGGCTGGACTTGTAATGTACTTGTGGCTGGACTTGTGATGTACTTGTGACTAAACTTGTGACTAGACTTGTGATGTACTTGTCACTGGACTTGTGATGTTCCTGTGACTGGACTTGTGATGTACTTGTGACTAGACTTGTAATGTACTTGTGGCTGGACTTGTGATGTACTTGTGACTAGACTTGTAATGTACTTGTGACTAGACTTGTAATGTACTTGTGGCTGGACTTGTAATGTACTTGTGGCTGGACTTGTGATGTACTTGTGACTAAACTTGTGACTAGACTTGTGATGTACTTGTCACTGGACTTGTGATGTTCCTGTGACTGGACTTGTGATGTACTTGTGACTAGACTTGTAATGTACTTGTGGCTGGACTTGTGATGTACTTGTGACTAGACTTGTAATGTACTTGTGACTAGACTTGTAATGTACTTGTGGCTGGACTTGTGATGTACTTGTGACTAGACTTGTGATGTACTTGTGACTGGACTGGTGATGTCCTTGTGACTAGACTTGTGATGTACTTGTGACTGGACTTGTGATGTACTTGTGACTAGACTTGTGATGTACTTGTGGCTGGATTTGTGATGTACTTGTGACTAGACTTGTAATGTACTTGTGGCTGGTTTTGTGATGTACCTGTGACTAAACTTGTGATGTTCTTGTGACTAGACTTGTGATGTACTTGTCACTGGACTTGTGATGTTCCTGTGACTGGACTTGTGATGTACTTGTGACTAGACTTGTAATGTACTTGTGGCTGGACTTGTGATGTACTTGTGACTAGACTTGTAATGTACTTGTGGCTGGACTTGTGATGTACTTGTGACTAGACTTGTGATGTACTTGTGACTGGACTTGTAATGTACTTGTGACTTAACTTGTAATGTACTTGTGGCTGGACTTGTGATGTACTTGTGACTAGACTTGTAATGTACTTGTGGCTGGACTTGTGATGTACTTGTGACTAGACTTGTGATGTACTTGTGACTGGACTTGTGATGTACTTGTGACTAGACTTGTAATGTACTTGTGACTAGACTTGTGATGTACTTGTGACTGGACTTGTAATGTACTTGTGACTGGACTTGTGATGTACTTGTGACTGGACTTGTGATGTACTTGTGACTGGACTGGTGATGTTCCTGTGACTGGACTTGTAATGTACTTGTGACTGGACTTGTGATGTCCTTGTGACTAGACTTGTAATGTACTTGTGGCTGGACTTGTGAAGTACTTGTGACTAGACTTGTAATGTACTTGTGACTGGACTTGTGATGGACTTGTGACGAGACTTGTAATGTACTTGTGGCTGGACTTGTGATGGACTTGTGGCTGGACTTGTAATGTACTTGTGACTGGACTTGTGATGTACTTGTGACTAGACTTGTAATGTACTTGTGGCTGGACTTGTGATGGACTTGTGGCTGGACTTGTAATGTACTTGTGACTGGACTTGTGATGTACTTGTGACTAGACTTGTAATGTACTTGTGGCTGGACTTGTGATGGACTTGTGGCTGGACTTGTAATGTACTTGTGGCTGGACTTGTAATGTACTTGTGACTGGACTTGTGATGTACTTGTGACTGGACTTGTAATGTACTTGTGACTGGACTTGTGATGTACTTGTGACTAGACTTGTAATGTACTTGTGGCTGGACTTGTAATGTACTTGTGGCTGGACTTGTGATGTACTTGTGACTGGACTTGTGATGGACTTGTGACTGGACTTGTAATGTACTTGTGGCTGGACTTGTGATGTACTTGTGACTAGACTTGTAATGTACTTGTGGCTGGACTTGTGATGGACTTGTGGCTGGACTTGTAATGTACTTGTGACTGGACTTGTAATGTACTTGTGGCTGGACTTGTAATGTACTTGTGACTGGACTTGTGATGTACTTGTGACTAGACTTGTAATGTACTTGTGGCTGGACTTGTAATGTACTTGTGACTGGACTTGTGATGTACTTGTGACTAGACTTGTAATGTACTTGTGACTGGACTTGTGATGTACTTGTGACTAGACTTGTAATGTACTTGTGGCTGGACTTGTAATGTACTTGTGGCTGGACTTGTGATGTACTTGTGACTGGACTTGTGATGGACTTGTGACTGGACTTGTAATGTACTTGTGGCTGGACTTGTGATGTACTTGTGGCTGGACTTGTAATGTACTTGTGACTGGACTTGTGATGTACTTGTGACTAGACTTGTAATGAACTTGTGGCTGGACTTGTAATGTACTTGTGACTGGACTTGTGATGTACTTGTGACTAGACTTGTAATGTACTTGTGGCTGGACTTGTGATGGACTTGTGGCTGGACTTGTAATGTACTTGTGACTAGACTTGTAATGTACTTGTGGCTGGACTTGTAATGTACTTGTGGCTGGACTTGTGATGTACTTGTGACTGGACTTGTGATGTACTTGTGACTAGACTTGTAATGTACTTGTGACTAGACTTGTGATGTACTTGTGGCTGGACTTGTAATGTACTTGTGACTGGACTTGTGATGGACTTGTGACTAGACTTGTAATGTACTTGTGGCTGGACTTGTGATGGACTTGTGGCTGGACTTGTAATGTACTTGTGACTGGACTTGTGATGTACTTGTGACTAGACTTGTAATGTACTTGTGGCTGGACTTGTGATGTACTTGTGACTAGACTTGTAATGTACTTGTGACTGGACTTGTGATGTACTTGTGACTGGACTTGTAATGTACTTGTGACTGGACTTGTAATGTACTTGTGACTGGACTTGTAATGTACTTGTGGCTGGACTTGTAATGTACTTGTGACTGGACTTGTGATGGACTTGTGGCTGGACGTGTAATGTACTTGTGGCTGGACTTGTAATGTACTTGTGGCTGGACTTGTGATGTACTTGTGACTAGACTTGTAATGTACTTGTGACTGGACTTGTGATGGACTTGTGGCTGGACTTGTAATGTACTTGTGGCTGGACTTGTAATGTACTTGTGACTAGACTTGTAATGTACTTGTGGCTGGACTTGTAATGTACTTGTGGCTGGACTTGTGATGTACTTGTGACTAAACTTGTGACTAGACTTGTGATGTTCTTGTGACTGGGCTTATGATGCATGTGTGACTATACTTGTGATGTACTTGTAACTGGACTGATGATGTACTTGTTACTGGACTTATGATGTACTTGTGACTGGACTTGTGATGTACTTTTGCCTGGACTTGTTATGTACTTGTGATGTACTTGTGAATGAACTTGTGACTGGACTTGTGATGTACGTGTGACTAGACTTGTAATGTACTTGTGACTGAAATTGTAATGTGCTTGTGACTAGACTAATGATGTACTTGTGACTAGACTTGTGATGTACTTGTGACTGGGCTTATGATGGACTTGTGGCTGGACTTGTAATGTACTTGTGACTGGACTTGTAATGTACATGTGGCTGGACTTGTGATGTACTTGTGACTGGACTTGTAATGTACATGTGACTAGACTAATGATGTACTTGTGACTAGACTTGTAATGTACTTGTGACTGGGCTTATGATGCACTTGTGACTAGACTTGTGATGTACTTGTGACTGAACTTGTGACTGGACTTGTAATGTACTTGTTACTGGAACTGTAATGTACTTGTGACTAGACTTATGATGCACTTGTGACTGGACTTGTGATGTACTTGTGACTGGACTTGTGATTTACTTTTGACTGGACTTGTGATGTACTTGTGACTGGACTTGTGATGTACTTGTGACTGGACTTGTGATGTATTTGTGATTGATCAATCTTAAGTATCTCGACCACAAGCAAAGACAATGATCTTACCTGAGTGAATACCGATGCGGAGTTTGAGTTTCTCATCTTGTTTGTGTGGCATGATCAACTATCAACGCCCTGCAGGAGATGCCATGCAGCGGAGACGATCATACCAGCATGACGGCTGCCATTACGGATCAGTAGGCAGGAGACCAACATGTAGGCATCGTCGATGCTTTCAACCTTGGCAAGATGTTATTATTTAACACTGGTTAATTTTGCTTTCAGACATTATAATAGAACATACATATTTGCGTGGTTTTTGCCTGAACTAGTAACCATGGTAGCATCAACTTAACCTCTGAGTGATTGTCATGACTACGCCTGCAAACAGCCCAGTAATGTTGACAATGATAATGCAAGTGACTTTTTGTAATTATATCACCGCACCCACAGATTCTGTGTTTTTCAGTGGCCGAGAGTGTGCATCACATAGTATTTGCTATTTTCCGTCTACTTGTACATGGCTAAAAGGACTATGGCACCTTCCATTTTAATACTGACTACTTTGAGTGGCATAATCAAACTAGCCTCCTAGACCTGTTTTATAATGCCACTCGAAGCAGTCAATATGCAAGACTACAAATTATAAGCATAGCTTGTAAAGTACTCTGAAAGTAAAACAGATCTAAGATGGTAGAATCAAGCCAAGCAGTAACGGGTAAGGTGCTTTCTGTCAATGTATTGTTGATCATTTCATGTTTGCATATTTACCATAATAAATGAACTTGGATAAGTGTATTAAGTATAATCTATTGCAGTACCCTTTAAAATAACTTCCTGTGATATGGCACATTTGGCTTAACAAGTTCACATCAGACAACGTGTATACACGCAAGGTTTTGCGGTAATCGGAATGGATGATGGATAAACACACAACAAGCGAGGCCCGAAATGTCTGTCAGTGGCCCGCTTGCAGCGAGATACCCGTAGATGACAGCCTGAAGCCGTCTGGCATCCAGATTCATGAAAACAATCCCAAGTCTTGGTCTGGTCAATGTCAAAATAGTCCAGCGCGAACTGGTTAAAACAATCTGCTGGGTCATATGGAATATTTACCTTGTAGACGTCATAGTTGGAAATGATGGCGTCGAACAGCGTGTGCAAGGCATTCAACAAGTTAACAACCTGGAAAGTTAAGAACAAGACGTAAAGGGTAACTCTGGTGACACTATTGGTTTGCGAATCTGAGTAGACAATTTGGTCAAATTTGAGTACATTTTTGATAATACATTGTAGTATATACATTTTGAACTGAAGCCGCCTTTGAGCAAGGGCGGATCCAGAACACAATTTTTTACTGTTTTGGTCCCCCAAAAAGAGGGTCAAAAAAATTACGGCGTGGGGTTCGGGGCCCCTTAACATGCTTGAGGGCCCCGAAAATGTTTTTGATTGTAGATGCTCTGTGGTGCGATCCGAGGCAATTTCTCACCACTTTAACCAATGTTTTTTTTAGGAAAAGATGGTGGTGTACTCATTGCCTGCCTTTATTGCGATGTCACATTAAAAAAAAAAAAAATTGGTTTCATTTGGGGGGGGGGGGGGGGCACGGCCCCCTTTGTCCCTCCCCCCCCCCCCCCTCCTGGATCCGCCCTTGCCTTTGAGAATACGATTGAAAAGTACAAAGCCCTAGGTGCATGTTTATCTTGTGACTAGACTTGTAATGTACTTGTGACTGGACTTGTGATGTACTTGTGACTGGACTTGTGATGTACTTGTGACTGGACTTGTGATGTCCTTGTGACTAGACTTGTGATGTACTTGTGACTGGACTTGTGATGTACTTGTGACTAGACTTGTAATGTACTTGTGACTAGACTTGTGATGTACTTGTGACTAGACTTGTAATGTACTTGTGGCTGGACTTGTGATGTACTTGTGACTAGACTTGTAATGTACTTGTGACTGGACTTGTGATGTACTTGTGGCTGGACTTGTGATGTACTTGTGACTTAACTTGTAATGTACTTGTGGCTGGACTTGTGATGTACTTGTGACTAGACTTGTAATGTACTTGTGGCTGGACTTGTGATGTACTTGTGACTGGACTTGTGATGTACTTGTGACTAGACTTGTAATGTACTTGTGGCTGGACTTGTGATGTACTTGTGACTGGACTTGTGATGTACTTGTGGCTGGACTTGTGATGTACTTGTGACTAGACTTGTAATGTACTTGTGGCTGGACTTGTGATGTACTTGTGACTGGACTTGTGATGTACTTGTGACTAGACTTGTAATGTACTTGTGACTAGACTTGTAATGTACTTGTGACTGGACTTGTGATGTACTTGTGACTGGACTTGTGATGTACTTGTGACTAGACTTGTGATGTACTTGTAACTGGACTTATGATGTACTTGTTACTGGACTTATGATGTACTTGTGACTGGACTTGTGATGTACTTTTGCCTGGACTTGTTATGTACTTGTGATATACACTGCAACATATGGGACCAAAAAAATTGGACTGGTACATGTGTAGCTACATACACTCTACATAAAAACTAGAATAAAGCGCTCTCATCAGACAAAAAAAACTATGCTGCACAAAATACCCATGTCTACATGTACGTAGTACCGTTGCCTATAGTTAAAAAAAAGAAGACTACATGTACATGTACCGGTACATCTACATAATTATGTCGTGCGCCATTCAAAAAGTCTACAGGCATCTACCCTGTACAGAAAAAGTCTACAGGCATCTACCCTGTACAGAAAAAGTCTACACACATCTACCCTGTACAGAAAAAGTCTACACACATCTACCCTGTACAGAAATAGTCTACACACATCTACCCTGTACAGAAAAAGTCTACACACATCTACCCTGTACAGAAAAAGTCTACACACATCTACCCTGTACAGAAAAAGTCTACACACATCTACACTGTACAGAAAAAGTCTACACACATCTACCCTGTACAGAAATAGTCTACACGCATCTACCCTGTACAGAAATAGTCTACACACATCTACCCTGTACAGAAAAAGTCTACACGCATCTACACTGTACAGAAAAAGTCTACACACATCTACCCTGTACAGAAAAAGTCTACAGGCATCTACCCTGTACAGAAAAAGTCTACACACATCTACCCTGTACAGAAAAAGTCTACACACATCTACCCTGTACAGAAAAAGTCTACACACATCTACCCTGTACAGAAATAGTCTACACGCATCTACCCTGTACAGAAAAAGTCTACACACATCTACACTGTACATAAATAGTCTACACACATCTACCCTGTACAGAAAAAGTCTACACACATCTACCCTGTACAGAAATAGTCTACACGCATCTACCCTGTACAGAAAAAGTCTACACACATCTACACTGTACAGAAAAAGTCTACAGGCATCTACACAGTACAGAAAAAGTCTACACACATCTACACAGTACAGAAAAAGTCTACACACATCTACACTGTACAGAAAAAAGTCTACACACATCTACCCTGTACAGAAAAAGTCTACAGGCATCTACACTGTACAGAAAAAGTCTACAGGCATCTACACAGTACAGAAAAAGTCTACACACATCTACACTGTACAGAAAAAAGTCTACACACAACTTCACTGTACAGAAAAAGTCTACACACATCTACACTGTACAGAAAAAGTCTACACACATCTACACTGTACAGAAAAAGTCTACACACATCTACACTGTACAGAAAAAGTCTACACACATCTACCAAGTACAGAAAAAGTCTACACACATCTACCCTGTACAGAAAAAAGTCTACACGCATCTACACAGTACAGAAAAAGTCTACACACATCTACCCTGTACAGAAATAGTCTACACGCATCTACCCTGTACAGAAAAAGTCTACACACATCTACACTGTACAGAAAAAGTCTACACACATCTACACTGTACAAAAAAAGTCTACACACATCTACACTGTACAGAAAAAGTCTACACACATCTACACTGTACAGAAAAAATCTACACTGTACAGAAAAAGTCTACACGCATCTACACTGTACAGAAAAAGTCTACACGCATCTACACAGTACAGAAAAAGTCTACACACATCTACCCTGTACAGAAAAAGTCTACACACATCTACACTGTACAAAAAAAGTCTACACGCATCTACATTGTACACAGTACAGAAAAAGTCTACACACATCTACTCTGTACAGAAATAGTCTACACACATCTACCCTGTACAGAAAAAGTCTACACACATCTACATTGTACATAAATAGTCTACACACATCTACCCTGTACAGAAAAAGTCTACACACATCTACACTGTACAAAAAAAGTCTACACGCATCTACACAGTACAGAAAAAGTCTACACACATCTACTCTGTACAGAAATAGTCTACACACATCTACACTGTACAGAAAAAGTCTACACGCATCTACACTGTACAGAAAAAGTCTACACGCATCTACACAGTACAGAAAAAGTCTACACGCATCTACACTGTACAGAAAAAGTCTACACACATCTACACTGTACAGAAAAAGTCGAGAGTAACTCCGCTTATTGAACAAACGCATGGTATCATCACGCAGTAATCATGAAAACTGTTACAATGTATCTATTTCACTGTCAGTCCCATCCGACTGGAGAAATTAATACCGTGGGAACTTGATAGTGCGCTCGGTGGCCACACCACACCAGGGCTGCGGTCACAGTGACTGTCAATAATGTTGGATCACCTGAATTTCTCAACTGTTTCGGTTTATTTCGGTTTATTTCGTGTTTTTTTTCAAAAGATGGCTAAACCGCCCTGAGGTCAGTTTCGGTTTCTGGTCGAGTTTGCACATCATTAATCTACACTGATCAAAAAAGGTCTACACATATCTACCCTGTAGAAACAAAATCTAGATGCATCCGACTTGCACCAAAAAAGTCTACACGCATCTACCCTGTACAAAAAAGGTCTACATACCCTGTAGAAACAACACGCATGGGTAGATGCGTGTAGACCATTTTTGTGCAGTGTAGATGCGTGTAGACCTTTTTTGTACAGTGTAGATGTGCGTAGACTTTTTTTCTACAGTGTAGATGTGTGTAGACATTTTTTTGTGCAGGGTAGATGCGTGTAGACTCTTTTGTCATGTTTGTGCAGGGTAGATGCGTGTAGACTTTTTTGTGCAGGGAAGATGCGTGTAGACTTTTTTTGTGCAGGGAAGATGCGTGTAGACTTTTTTTTTGTACAGTGTAGATGCGTGTAGACCCTTTTTTGTACAGTGTAGATGCGTGTAGACTTTTTGGGGGCAGGGTAGATGCATGTAGACTTTTTTTGGTGCAGGTCAGATGCATCTACACTTTGTTTCTACAGGGTAGATGCGTATAGACCTTTTTTTGTAGAGAGTAGATGCATGTAGACTTTTTCTGTACAGGGTAGATGCGTGTAGACTTTTTCTGTACAGGGTAGATGTCTGTAGACTTTTTTAACTGTTTGGCGCACGACATAAATTCTGTAGAAAGTCTTTTTTTCTGTAATTAAAGGCTATCATCACCCTATGCAACGGGTACTACGTATACATGGGAATTTTGTGCAGCATTTTTTGTATTTTTTGTCTGATGAGGGCGCTTTATTCTAGTTTTTTATGTAGAGTGTATGTAGCTACACACATACCAGTCCAATTTTTTGGGTCCCATATGTTGCCCCAAATGGACTAACAAGCCCCCAGATAGCAATTTCATGTCATCAAAGTCAATTTGAGCAGTGAGAAAATACAAACATTTTCTTAGAAAACACTTAGAATTTTTCAGTCCAATCTCATAGGGTTTGTACACAGGGTGTTGAGTGAACTTCGTATATGGAAATCTTTCCCCAAAATGATGATACCGATAGACAACATAAATCTAGGACTGCATGCACCGAGAAACATTCCCAATTGTGTTAGGAAAAATAACTCAGCAATTTTTCTTGACTCTGTTACGTGCGGGGAACGCACGGCAGAAAGAAATAAGTAATAAAAACGGGAATCATGACTTTTGAATCAAAGGCAAAAAAGAGACCAATATATGATTAACAAAATTTAATTAATTCTCCCAAATCAATCAACAGGACAGTGGGTGATACAAACATTCTCAGTTAGTCTTCAACTTTAAGCGTCATGCAAGAACCTCCAAGCATTAGACACAGGCAAAGCAAATTAAATTACAAAGAAATTAGCAAAGAAGCAATTTATACAAACAGGCGAAATAAAGTAAAGAACAAGCCGGCAAAATAGAGTTAATAAGCAAAACACACAAAAAAAAGGCAAATTGTATTCGGCCGAATATAATTACCAATAAGGAACCAGTAGCAGGAACAGGCCCCGCCCAGCCAGTGCCCACAACGGTATCAGCGCAGCCGTCGAACCAAGCATCTCCGCACCCAACCGTAGATCAGCCAAGCCACAGGTAAGTCAGCGTTGAGCACCGGGAAGTCAGCCACATCAAGCAGGCCACGACAGTCCAGGTCTCGTCCGGTAGTACCGTCAGCCTCGGCCACGATCCAGCGATGAGGGGTACGTAGATCGGTAGGACGGCGGGAGATGCTGGCTCAACGACGCGCTAATGAAAATCGCACATAATGGTTGTACATGGGCACCAACTGAGAGCGAATAAAAGCCAGTCAGTGCTTATATAGGGTATTTACCCGCGCGTAGCCACCATAACAAACATTCATTAAATACCGAAAATTCTAGTGCGGGAGCAACCGTACTAAAGGATTACAGATTAGGTGGGTTCGTAACACTCCCCTCCATAAAAAAAGTTTGAACGTTAGGGAAAACTTTCTTTTTAAACATGTGGCACGCGAATAAAGCCCTTATAGAATTATTACATGTATAAAGTTTACACTCCATTATACATGATTACTAATTATTAATTATTAATGCCAATTTAATAAAGTTATTAACATAATGTTAATTGGAAATTAAACCAATTATTCAAATGGCAAACAGTGATATCCAGATTATTAATTGGCAGACAGCGAAATCAAGTTAGTAACACCTGGACAAAGTGTCCGCTATTACATTATCTTTGCCCTTAATATGACGAATTTCAATGGCAAATTGCTGAAGAGCCAAACTCCATCTTAACAGTCTCTGGTTTTTGTTTTTCATTTTGTTCAGAAACGTCAAGGGGTTGTGATCTGTATATACTACAATCGGTTTCACTGCTGAATCTACATACACCTCAAAATGTTGCAGAGACAAAACTAATGCCAACGTTTCCTTTTCAACAGTGGAGTATTTCATTTGATGACGGTTCAACTTTTTTGAGAAGTAACATACTGGATGCATAATACCACATTCATCTTCTTGTACAAGTACAGAACCTACTCCAACATCACTAGCATCAGTTACAAGTGTAAACGGTTTATCAAAGTCTGGAGCAGAAAGAATTGGTGCGGACGTGAGCATGGCCTTTATCTTTCCAAACGCCTGATTGCATTCATCGTTCCAAATGAATTTTGTGTTTTTGGCAAGCAGGTTTGTTAGTGGGGAAACAACATCCGAAAAATTACGGCAAAACTTCCTGTAATACCCAGCCATGCCAAGGAAACGCATCAACTCCTTCTTTGTTTTTGGTTCAGGAAAATTCACAATGGCTTCCACCTTAGCGTTTACTGGCCGAACTTCTCCTTGGCCGATTTCATGGCCCAGAAAAGTAACCTTGCCTTTCCCAATCTGACTCTTCGACAGGTTGACTGTTAGTTTAGCTTGGGAGAGCCGATCGAACAAAGATTTGGTTTGCTCCACATGTTGTTCCCATGTATCACTGTATATAACAATGTCATCAATATACACTTCAGTGTTTTCTAAGCCTGCAGTAATTTGATTCATGATACGCTGGAATGTGGCAGGGGCGTTCATCATGCCAAAAGGGAGTACTTTGTACTGGTACAGACCCTGTGGGGTTACAAAAGCTGAAATCTCTTTTGCTCGAGTTGTTAATGGCACCTGCCAATATCCCTTCAACAGATCATATGTACTTACAAACTTAGCACTACCAATCTTATCAATGTAATCATCAACTCTTGGAAGTGGGTAAGTGTCGGGTTTAGTCACAGAATTAACTTTTCTGAAATCGGTACAAAACCGCATAGACCCATCTGACTTAGGAACCAAGATACATGGAGAGCACCAGGAGCTATTACTCTCTTCGATAATACCATTTTCTTTCATGTACTGGATTTCTTTGTGCATGAGCGATTGTTTAACTGGTCCACATCTATAAGGATGTTGCTTCATTGGTGTGGCATTTCCAACATCCACATCGTGTTCGGCAATATCAGTTTTTGTGGGCACATCAGAAAATAATTGCTTATTCTCATTCAACAAATTTGACATTTCTGACTTCTGCTCTGGATTAAGATGTTCCAATTTCACATCTAGATTTGCCAAAATCTCTGAGTTATTCAACTTGATGTTGTCACCTGGCATCTGACAATCATCTACATTATCAGACTCTACTGCACTTACAGCTACTGCTTCAGTTTTAGTTTCTGATGGTCTGACATGGTAGCTCTTAAGCATGTTAACATGGCACAACTGTCTTTTCTTTCGCCTATCAGGAGTCTGAACTAGGTAATCTAGGTCACCTATTTTACGTTCGATTACATAAGGTCCACTATAACGGGCCTGAAGTGGTTGACCTAATAATGGTAACAGTACAAGGACTTGATCACCTGGTGCAAAACTACGATCTCGAGCTTTACGATCATACCAAGTTTTCATTTCTCTTTGGACTCCCTGAAGGTGATTGTGTGCAAGTTCACAAGCATTCTGTAAACGCTCTTTAAGTTTTACAACATAACTCAGAACGCTGTCAGTAGTTTGATCATCTCCTAACCACTTTTCTTTCACTAGAGCCAATGGACCTCTGACATTACGCCCAAAAACTAGCTCAAATGGGCTAAAGCCTAGGGACTCATTTGGTACCTCACGGATAGCAAAGAGAAGTAAAGGGAGACCTTCATTCCAATCCTTATCATGCTCTGTACAATAGGCTTTGATCATGGACTTCAAAGTCTGGTGAAATCGCTCAAGTGCACCTTGACTTTGAGGATGGTATGCACTAGATGTTACAATATCAATGCCTAAAGCACTGAGTTGATCTCGGAACAATTTAGATGTAAAGTTTGTTCCTTGGTCACTTTGCACTACCTTGGGAAGACCAAAACGAGTAAAGAATGAGATAAGTGCTTCACTTACTGGTTTGGCCTTTATCGACCTTAAAGGTACAGCCTCAACATATCTAGTGGACGAGCACATGATAGTAAGTAGGTACTGGTGCCCTGATCTAGCTTTGGGTAATGGTCCAACGCAATCAACAATGACTCGGCTGAATGGTTCAAGCAAAGTGGGTATTGGCCTTAAAGGAGCTTTAGGTGGATCCTGATTAGGCTTACCAACTAGCTGACAAGTATGACAAGTTTTGCAGTAATCGGCTACAGATCGTCTAAGATTAGGCCAATAAAAATGCTGCAAAATACGATCACAGGTTTTTGTCACACCTAAGTGTCCAGCCATAGGGATGTCGTGTGCTAAACTCATTATATGACTCTGATAGGTTTTAGGCACAACAACTTGTTTGACAACTTTCCACTCTTCATCAGCGGAGACATATGGTGGTCTCCACTTTCGCATAAGTACGCCATTACTAATGAAATAGCACACAGGCACCTTAAAAGCTTCAGTTTCACTTAAAGCAGTCTTACTTATGCTAATCAATGTAGGATCCTTCCCTTGTTCAGCTATCAAATCCTCTTTACTAATGAAAAGATCACTAGAAACATGTGACTGAACACCTGGGAAATTTTCCTGAAATGGCATAGAAGATTCATTCATGAATGTGTCAGATAAATCAATGCCATCTGATTGACCTAAGAACTCAGTACTAGTTAGTTTATCCTTACTAGTCATTGATCTAGTGGTCACACATGAAGGAAAGATACCCGGAAAATCTTCCTCCAGCTGAGTAGTGTGATTTTCACTACTCGCAAATGTATCCATTACCGGTTCAACAACAACTTTGCAACCAGCAACATCATTACCTAGGAGTAAGGTTACACCTTCTAATCCCTTCGGTAGGCTTGGGGCCACCCCTACTGTCACAGGCCCTGAAACCAAGTCTGACTGTAAGTTAACATGATGAAGAGGCACATCAATGTAATCATTACCAACACCAGTTACCAATACATTAGTTCCTGCATAAGATTGATCAGTTAAGGGAACTGCACCTTTAAGGAGCAAGGACTGAGAAGCTCCCGTGTCCCTAAGTATTACGACTGGATACTGTGGCAAGTCTAATTCACCTTCGCCAAGTGAAATAAATCCCTCTGTGATAAAGGGTAAGTAGCCCTTACTTATGTCAGACAAAGAGCCTTTGACTTCATCATTGTTCTCAGAGAATGTGGAACATGGAACACTCTTAGTGAATGCAACCGGCTTAGAATCACTAGAACCACTAGCCTGCAGTTTTCTCAAGTAAGCAAAACAATTGGATTTTATATGGCCTGTTTTCTTACAAAAAGAACAAGTCACGGTTGACCTACTACTAGATGTTTCCTTTTTTGCACTAGTCCCTGAATTTGCACTGTCGGGTTTATCAGTATCTACTGACTTATAACGTGGAGGACTGTTACGAGCCCGACGTTTACTAGAGTAGTCATTACTCTTAGCAAAATGTGTTTTGTGTGTCAACACATAATCATCAGCTAATACAGCTGCCTGATGTAACTCTTTAACCTGTTGTTCCTCTAAATGTGTTTTAACATTATCTGGGACACAACTCTTAAAGTCCTCCAACAGCATAACCTGCCGTAACTTAGCAAAATCTTTGCCTACACTACAAGAGTCACACCATCTATCAAAGAAAATCTCTTTCTCACGTGAGAACTCAATATAATTCTGCCTATCCTGCTTTTTTGAATTCCTGAATTTCTGCCGATATGCCTCAGGTACTTGCTCATACGCTTTTAGAATAGCCGACTTAACTAGCTTATAGTCTTTACTTTGTTCAATAGAGAGAGCTGAATACACCTCTTGTGCTTTACCAGTTAAGACACTTTGCAGCAACAAAGTACGCATATCTGAAGGCCATTGAAGCCTATCTGCTACTTTTTCGAAATGCCCGAAATACTTGTCAATTTCTTTGTCGTGAAAAGGTGGAACTAAACGAATGTGTTTACTAGGATCGAACGCACTATGTGTATGTGACGTAGTCTGCTTTAACTTAGCTAATCCTAATTCAATCTCGGCCTTTTTCCTTTGCTCGATTTGAATTTCTAACTCGAGTTCTTTGAGTCTAATAGCAGCTTCTTCTGAGTGATGACTAGGCTCTGCAATTTCTAACTCTAGCATACCCTCATCTACAAAGAACTCTACAAGTACAGCCTTTAAATCTGCTTTTTTCATACTAGACAGTACAGAAACACTTTAATGCTTAGCTACGTCAAACAATTCAGTACGCTTCAAAGTATTCAGTTTACTCTCCGAGGGAGAGTCTTCAAAGTTAGCTACAAAGTCACTAAGATCGAATTTGCTTGCCATGATTCGCTTCAAGTTCAAAGTATGCAAAGACTAACTGAAAAACAAGGGTATAATAAACCCAACTACGGACAATTTCTTAGCTTGTAATTTTGCTCGATTCCCGGACAAGCCCCCAATTCTGTTACGTGCGGGGAACGCACGGCAGAAAGAAATAAGTAATAAAAACGGGAATCATGACTTTTGAATCAAAGGCAAAAAAGAGAC